AAGTTGGTGTAGGTTCGGTGATCCGCGGGAGCAAAGTCGGTGGGCTTATTGATCGAGATGATTATGGGCAGATGGTCTGATGCTAACGATAGCATAGGTTGCCATGATATGCTATTTATCAGACCAGCGCTAGCAATTGTTAGGTCTGGCGAGCTGCTGCAGCTGCCCACAATCCTGGTCGGGGGCGTCGTGGTTCATGGTGCAGAATGTCGAATCGTCTATCTGCTCAGCCAAAATGTTTCCCCTCCGATCATTGGCCAGGCTTGTATGCCAAAGATCGTGGTGCGCGTTGAAGTCACCTACTACCAGTCGGTTTTCGCCTCTGAGTAGCGCACCTATGTCAGGGAGATATCCAGCCGGGCAGCAGGTGACAGGGGGTATGTACACGTTAAATATTTCGAGCTCGACATCGCCTGACCGGACAGCTATGCCTTGACATTCTAGGGTAGTGTCCCTTGGGTCGATGTCTTCTTCGATTAGCCGATACTGCACTGTGTGGTGTAGAATGAACGCTAATCCTCCACCATTATCTCGCTCGCGATCTTTACGGAGCACATTGTAGGCGGCGCAACCCAACAAAGTTGAGTTGCTGTGCAACTTCGTTTCTTGGACCGCAGCTATCAATATGCCGTGCCGACCCATGAAGACTGCTATCTCCTCAATCTTGCTCTGGAGTCCGTTGCAGTTGAGTTGGAGTACGTTCGTATGCCTTGGGAGGCTGGTCGCGATACGGGGGCTCTCAGTCGTTGTCGTTAAGTTCCACTAACGGCAGCCCTAGGAAGCGTGCAGCTTCTGTAGGCTTGGTCCACTGGGACAAAGCCGTAAGGGTTGTCGGGTTTCCCGGGCATGCGAAGAGATGTTTCGAGTCATGTGGGGTCTCTCCGCATGCCGGACACTCATTTGGCACATCCTCATTCAATCTACTCAGGTAGGATTTTAACCTGCTGCAGTAGCCAGAGCGTCGTTCGTGTCTCCCGAGGCAGATGAAGCTCCGTCTCGTCTATGTCCGGGGGCGGTATGCCTAGAACGGCAGTCACAGGTCT